AACTGCAGAATTGTCTGTCTTTCGGGTAGATAAGGTTTGAATTCACTCTAAACTTTATTATAATAGAGTATATCACAATAATATAAGTAGAAGTAGATATACTGTAAAATAATGTAATAACAAAAATTAGGCAGAAAAAGACAAAACTATACAAGGTTAAAACTAAAAATTATTGGAGATTGGGTAGAAGGCCGGGTGATCATTCCACACCGTCTCCTTTTCCCCATTTTCTCGCTACAGAGAACTTTGGGATATCGATTCATTTCTTTCAGAGAATACTTAAATATTTCAAAGAATTTGTGCACCTAACTTGTTCATACTAATTATTATCCATGATGTAATTTCCTGGGCCTTGCGCGTATTCAGCAGAAAATATAAACGTAAACAATTTTAGTTGTGCTTGTAATATTATCTTAGGTGATGTTTTAAGTTGAAGACCCCTTTACTTTACTTTTCCTTCCTCACCGTTTAAAAGTGATCGATTCGCGGTCTCGTTGTAATTTATCTTTTACGTAAAATGTAATAAAACTCGGAAATTCCTACACAGAGCGAACCCTACATTTATCGAATGTTTTGAGAGGAAAAGTATGAAGGTTAACGAAATGATAAGATAAATATCATGTAGCTTGTACTTCACTTTGGATTTTAGGTATCGAGCATCTACAACATGCATGTATACTTTTTATCTAAGTGATTATTCTTAGTCTCCTCTGCTAATTGTGAATTTAAGTAGGTAGATCGTTTTTAGATAAATTCTTTGCGGGTTCTAAACAAAGGTCTGGATTATTATAAAAAATAATGCAGACTAATGCAATGTTAACACGCGTTTAACGCTAACAATAGGCTATATTGTAAGTAAACATATAAAAAGCCGTATTTAAACCCAGTGACCACTTAGCATATTGACCAGCGCCCCGTCGGGGACGTAGAAAGTCTCGACAAAACGAAAAACAGCCTCCCACTTGTGGGCGTCGATTTGCATTATGAACTTGCCACTTTCAAATCGCCTCCCGCTGCGTACGAGTCCAACAATGCGGTTACACTATTTGATTACATTGCGAATGGGTTTACGACAGTTGTAAGCTTTCTTCCCGTGAGACAAATTGAGCGTTCAATGTGAACTGTCTACTGAATTATTCAGAGTTCATTAATCCACAAGCAGATATGATTATCACTAATTATTCTATACTAGCTGTGTCCGCGATTTTGCCGCTTACAATAGTTATTTAGGACAGCAATATTTGTTTTTGCAGACCTCCTCATCTTTATAAATTATTACCCGTTACATACAAAAATACAATCTTTCCTCTTTATAATATTAGTATAGATAGCTATTTCTCTTGACGTCATCGGCGTCCCGTCGTTTGTGCTAGTCAATCTTAGACATGTACTGTCCAAACATTGTTTAGACAGTTTCAAGAGAAATCATTCTATTATACGCATTTTTGTTTTGTTCGCTTGTATTGGTCGCAGCGTGTTTTACAGCCTAATGCCAAAAATACTCTAACACATTTTTTTTTTATTCGAGCCAGTAGTTTGCTGAGATTAGCGCGTTGAAACAAACAAATAAACTCTTATGCGTTATTATATTAGTATAGATTTCGTACATTACAGTAAAACAATGTAAAGTAATAGAATTTGTCTTTTAAATGTCGACAATGTAAGATAGACGTAAGTGGTGTACTCACGCATATGTTAATAGTTATCAATTGTCATAATATGAACTACCGCTATGTCACGTTCTGTCCGGTAGTTTTAACTTGAAACAAGCAAACTTTACAAAACAATTAAATAATAATCTAACTATCTTTCGAACATCAAGGTAAATATTTGCCCGTGACAGTAACGCCACAAAAACAAAAGGCCACTTACAAACTACATGTACATTTTTAAAATACATTATAATTAAATGGAGACGCTTTAGCTCAATTCGATTCAGATAGGTTCGGGGTTCGAATCGCGGATACTTTGTTTCCTTAGGGATATAAAAATGCAATAGAGTGCTACGCTGCTGCAAACGAGTTTTTCATGTTTTCAAATGATTTTATATTGAAACACGCCGGCTGGAAATTTCGACGTAAGAATATCGAAATTCCGTCCGGGTCAGGAACCATCGTCGGTTTTAGTCCATAGCCAAAATGGGTGGACTACGCGTCTAAATCAGTTGTTACATGGTTGGCATATTTCACCTTCCGTCAAGGGAACCCCGTACTTGTCTTCGCTCCGGACAATTCCTATGAACACAACTGCTAACTTCAATCGCCATTGTCCTATGAACACACATTATGCTCAAATTAACAGTTTTTAGTGTTATTTACGTGTATAAAGCCTGAGATTTGTTTAGACTTTAGATTATATTTCCTTTTTTTGTGTGCACTGACATTGTTTGAAATGTTTCATACGTAATCTAGGCTGTTTGCGAACCGCCTTCTTAGCTAAATGATTACAGGCTTAAACACGTGAAATCCTGGGTTCGAAACCAAACAATACACTGCTTCTGTTAGGCAGGACTTAGATTAGGGATCTATTATCCGCCTGTTAATAAAATTAATTTGAGAATTGATACAGAAAGGTGTCGTCGTGGTGCCTTCAAATATTGTGGCAAATCAAATATTCCATTACTAATGAGTTTTTTTGAGAATACCTATTGTGCACTAGCTGTTAGTCGGGTATCACGGCATTGAGCCCTATAACTACGAGTTATCGTAAAAAATACCAGCATTAAAGAGATATCTATGAGCAAATGAAAATTGACATTATCGATTTGTCGTTATATGTTTGCTATACACTATTGCTGCAATAAATTGTGTTTATTAACATAATTTATCATGTATTTAGGTACAAACATTGGAGGGGGCAATTCTAAAAATAGAGTGAAATTATTAATAATAATTCACACCGACATAAATCGCAAAGTATATCACAGTTGTATCTAGTGACAAAAGGCGACGCTTGCCTAACACAACTATATATCACTCTTTTGGAAATTGCGCCCCAGGCGTCGTACACTCGATAAACACGATGATATCACAAACCGGTCTCATAGACTTGACCCGTTAAGGTAACGAAAAATTCCATTCGAATAGCTTCAGATTTCTTCGACTTTCTTCTTTTTTGTGAAGGGACTGCGAGAGGTGTCTCGGCGTGTTTATTCATTCAATCGACTTTTACAAAGTTGTAAACAAGAAATGCTATTCGCGGAGTGTGTTCATGTTTATTGTAAAAGAGTTTGTTTATAATAATTCGACATTTCAAAACCCACTATAGAATAATAAGTAAGTTTTCAATGCTCACAATCTGATAACATTAAAATTGCAATCAATTATTCACTTAGACAGCGTAGCAAAGATTTAATCTAAGAATAACTTTGGTGCTGCACATAGTGTAGAGCTTAAAAATACACACACATATATATTATGTACAACTAGGTAACTACCTAAATCAGTTATTACAAAAACATAACAAACAAATGATTGATGAGTATATATTATGCTGCAAGAATGATGTCAACTTGACACACCTTGTTATTGGCAGTAACGGGAACTGTATAGTATTCTCAAGTTACAACAAATAATTGCCAATCTAGCTTCTATTGTGAGGCGTCCAACTTTTTGTGCCAGTAATATGTCTGTGGATATAACGCTAAACCTTTTTTTGGTGTAAGTCTATACAAATATTTTTGTAGAATAAATATTTATGTTATTTACTAAGTAAATCAAAGTAATAGATATGTAATATTTTTTTTGTCTGTCGTAAGCTTTTATGGGTATCTAAAAGGATTGTAAATATCTCTGCATAGTTTGTTGTATAACACATTGATTTTTCTGCTGTGGGATACTAGTAAAAAAAGGGTCATTTAAAGTTATGTAATGTCCGTTGTTTACTTGAAAATATTTATTAAACAAAATATACTTATAAGGAGCCGTTCAAGTATTACGTAAGAGATAAAACCCCCTTAAAATAAGCAAACCCTTGTAACATTTTTCAAAAAATTTGGTTGCCATTCTTAAAAAATAAATAAATATCGATGACGTAATAATATTGACTCCCCCATCATAAAAAAATAGTTTTAATTATTTAAAGTTTTAATTTGCCATAGCAAATGAATTAAAGATAATAAAAATTAAAAGAACTGATTGAATAATTGAATGATATAATCCAATTTGCATAATTAAGGTTAGTTAATTCACTATAAATTAGTTAATAAACATAGATAGACTTCTAATGAATAACACATAAAACATAGTATTAAAATAAGACAAATATAGTTTTTTTGTTAAAAAAAAACTCTTATCATCATACTATGCAAAATAATAATAATTAGGAAGACTAGTTCTAATATTAACTGTTATTATTTTTTAACATTCAATTGGCAAGGCATGCTTTTCAGTATGGGCTTGTTGCCAGATAAGGTCAATATCCTAATACATTTGGAATACTTCATTTTCTTTCTGTGCATAGAATATTCCATTTATATTTTTAATATAAAGTTCACATATATAATTTTACAGATGGAAAAGTAAATGAGTATAAGTTTATTTAACGGAAACATTATTTCTCTCTTACAATTTACCAATTTTATGGGGTTATTTTCAGTTAAAAATCATATAAACAGTATATCAGGAATTCAGTTTCAATAAAAATAGGGTGACTCTGTCTGGCCAAATGTATCGCAACTGACGCGAACTATAAATAGGTGGCTGAGCACCCTGGAGACCTGGTTATCTGAGCGATACGGCACGAGACAATGCGAGTCAGCTGAGTATGTAAACAAGGATTATGAGTTAAATAAGTCAATCTACAGGTTTTCCTTAGTCCAAATCAACAAGTGAAATTTGACCTGGGTAATAATATCGGGGTCCCATAACCTATGTAATACGACTAGAATCGAATCGTACGAAACCATGAGAATCCCCTGACCTCTCAGAATCTCACTTTCACACCACTTGCAACTGCAATCACCTGACACAACACAAATATAAACTTAAAACGATAAATACCTTTTCCTTTGCCCTTCCGGCGTGTTTTTGCACTGTTTTCGCTATTAACGCACCTTTACTTTCTGCCATTTTAATCACTGTTTCATAACCAATCGTCTTTATTTTAATGCACTAAACTGCAACAGAATTTGTTGCAGCGTTCTCGTACACGGGTCACACGTCAAAATCCTGAGGCTGTAAAATTGAGAACTGATTATTTTAAGATATCCGCGCTCTGACAGGTATGTCTCGTGACGCTTGAATTAGTTAGACAGATGACATTGATAGAATAGAAACTTTTTTTGTTTACCTGACTTGGAACCTAGTCTAATGGCAAACCTTTTAATTACTGTATTAATATATACTATTTTTATATATATTTTCTCTGATATATCTTAAGCTATTAAAAGTCGAATTAAAATAATTTTTGAGTTAAATTGTAGTTGTAACTTAGGCCTCTATAAAATATATAAATACACATAATTTTTTGCAAGTCATCGCATCTATAAAATATGATCTATCATATGTATTATGTGAATAGAAACAAATAATCAAATAATAATTTCACTAATGATTATAATACTTTACATTCTGACTCATTTAAATAAAACACTTTAACAGTTTAAAACGCGATATATTAGTTAAACTTATTTGAACATTATTTTTAACTTTGGCCCGACGTTTCGAATGCTTTGCAGCAGCAGTCAGTCTCCCCGTGACCACACCTACTGCAAAGTATCCGAAACGTCGGGCCCGAAGTTAGAAATCATTTTCCTTCTGTGTAACAAAAAGCGGTGTTTACCTTTAATTAAGTTTAGGTCAGTTATCGCGTTTTCTTTTTAGAATTAATGATCTATTTAGATGTAAGATTGTAACATAACGTGGAAAGGTAAACCTTTCTAAATAAAAAATAAACCGTTCAAGTGTTTTATTTAAATGTGTACTACTCGCGTAAACTATAGACAATATTCTGACTCAGTTAATTTTCACGTTCATTATAGTAGTAAAAACTTTTGACGTTCATCTGTGGAATCTATACCAGCAGTAAAATCTGTCTTACGTTATTTTGTTTTAAAGTTTCAAAAGCAGTTTTGCTGTTTCTAATATTTTTACGCACTAATTAAAGCTTTTTTAACATTTAGACTTTACAAAGGAAATTTATGGTAAAATTTTCTTTACTTTATTAGTTCTTTTTTTATTTTAACACACTGGTCACAGCCGGTTTTGCTTTAATAGGAGGCAAAAACTGAACTACAAAAGAATGCAATTGCTGAAGCTCGACGTAAAGAGTTGGAGACGTACCAACGCGCTTTGGATATCCAATGGTTGAATAGCCGGATGGAAGACGGCAGAATGGGCCGGTGCCTAGCGCTTATCCAACGTGAGGCTGAGATGGAGAAAGATTTCCAAGAGGTGATTATAAACTAATGGATTAATAACTTAAATATATTTATTAGCCTAAGAACCCAGTCTAATTTAATAACTACTTCATCTACTGGTAGTACTTCTGAATCTTATAAAAATAGTTGGACCATTTTACCAACAACTTAAGCTTTAGTTTATCCTGTGGCACATTACAGAAAACAGATCACGCCGCAATTGTTAACGCGAAAGCTAAACGTGAGGCGGATCTAGGTATGGAAATAGCGAAAGTCCGCTGTGAAGAAGCGTGTGAACTTCTCAGAAGACATCATCTTCGTGAACGAGATCCCAGCCTTCGTGAGTTGATGAAAAAACTACAAGCGGGCTATGTTTGCCGAGACTTACAGCAACAGATTTTGCATAACAAGTATAAAAGGTTGCAAGAAAAGGTAATTTATTATATTGTTATTTGTGGTCATGTATAAGCTAATTGGGTTATTAAATTTTCTGGTTGTAGTAATTGAAAAAGAAATTATAAAACTGTGATTGTTGATGTGAAAATTGTTTTTTTTAGTCTAGTTTGCTTTATTTCTGTCTTTCTAACAAAAAATTTCTTTATATGTATTGTATGGTCACAATCTAAAAGATCAAGTAAATATAACTATTGAATTAATGTTAATACTGTGTTTCAAGGCTGACCAAAACACCGCAAACCAAATCCTTCAAAACTGTCTTTATAATGACCAAGAGGCCAAAGAGAAAGAGGAAAAAGATAAGGCAGAGAAGGATAGGAAATATCGGTTGGAACTACAGCAACAGTTAGTCAACAGGCAGCTACAGAAGCAATGTCAATATGAGGAATCACTTATAGAGAAGAAGATGTTAGAAGGTATAGAGAGGACCATAGCTGATGAGGACCAAAGGTAGTGCATGTTCATTTAATATATTATTTGATTGAGGTTTTCATAAAATTTAAATTAATAAAGGGAATAAAACAATGAAAACATTTAATGAATGCACTATGTAGGATATTGTAGTTAAAAACTTCAGTATACATGTATAAAAAAGTATGTCTATTCTGAACTTCTTGTCATATTGTAAATTGTTGTTTACAGAGAACTAAGAGAAAAACGGCAGCAGATGGAAAAGTGTCGAAGGGAGATGGTGACATTTAAACAGGCTCGGGAGGCATGGAAAGAGAAGCAGAAAGCAATGGTAGTTATTGAAGAGAGGCAGATTGAGGAGCAGTTGAAAGCAGCTTCTGACAGGAATTCTGCTATGTTAGTAGCCTACATCAAAAGGCATCGGTTTAATGCATTATTACATTATTGAATTTGGAAATTAAGCATTGATATTTTAATGTAACAAAAGGATTAATTGTATTGTATTAGTAAATCAACACACTTCAATCACTCAGTAGTGTTATGTAGAGAAAAAATACTAATTTGGGCAGGATAAAATTCATAATACATTATTGTTTAGACTTTTGAGATATTTATTTTATATCTGCTTTACAATGAATTAGAATTATATCGAATTTTTTTATTACTAAGACCATTGTCTTACTAGAATATTTAAATTCCAGAATATCAGAAAGAGAGAGAAAAGTTAGAGAAAAGGAAGCCATCAATGAGAGAATAACTGCAAAAATCTTGGCTGATGAGGTCTGGTATACTGAAATGTTTTTGTTAACTTTTTACTTTATAGTTATTACATGATAAAAAAAAATTAAGCATTTATTCATTATTTTGGGTGGTCTCGCCAAATTTGGTAATATTTTAAACAACACTGTCCATCAAGGTGTATAGTATAAGCTGGTTGTGAAAAACAGTTACAAAGCAAATGCGAGCGGATAGAATTGTAATGTTTTCATCTGTGAATCACTTTTGTATATACCTCGTTAGGTTTCTCTTGCTTATCATCTTAAAAAAATTACTAATAATAATATTAGATTAGACTGATAAAAAGAAGTACTAATTCCAGGCGGAAAGACAAGAGAGGGAGAACATTATCAAATCACTCCAAGAGCAAGAACATCTCGAGAAAAATTTCCAGGACGATTTGCGGGAGAGAGACAAAACTGAAAGAGTGAAGCGAGACACGAGAGAGTCGCTTATGTCCCAAATGGACAACAATAAGAAACTGGCGAGGGAAGAGAAAGAAAAAGAGCTAGTTATGAGGAAGCAGGTATTACTGAAAAAGTACTATTCAATTTTACTCCGCAGCACCTTAGTGGTACAGAGCAGCAATTTTCCGCAAATACCAGTAATGAAGAAACAGATGGCGCTAGCGTAGCAGACGTTACCTCTTAGTTAAAGAAAACTTTAAACTTTATAACTGCTACTGCAAAGCATCTAAAGACAATGCTTAAACATAGTAAGTATTATACTTATAATATGATTTTTTTCCATATTTAGGTGACTATTTGTCACCTTAAATGTATTATATTTTTATTTTTTGACATACCATTTTTCTTTAATATGTCTCTAAATTTGTCACTCTATAAATATAATCTTTAGGTTTGTAAGATTGAAAATTCTAACAAAATACAACGTAATTATTTAAAATTGCAGAATGAGGTGAAAATGGCTGCAGACGAAGCGAAAGAAAGGGAGAAAGAACGCAAAAAGAAACTGAAGAGTGAACAGTACAGTATTGAACTTCGAAAGCAAATCGAAGCAAACGCGAGACGAAGGCAAAAAGACCAAGAGTTAGAAGAAAACAGAGCGAAATATGTTTGGGACTGTGATGCAGCATGGTAAACCAGTTGGATTTTTTTTTCTCTTGAGTTATAAGTTAAAAGTACCACTAAAATACTTCCTTTACAATCAATTGTATTAGATACTTCATTTTAGCTTCAATAAGCATGTAGGGTAAACATAGACATAATAGCACGGAATTAATTGTTGCTGTACATATTGGAATAGACTGAATTTTCAGACCATCTTAGAACGAAAAATAACGACACTTTCTTGTCGTTTGTTTTTCAGGCGGAAAGAAGTATCCGAAGAACGAAAAAAAATAATCAAAGAACACGTGCCCAAAGTGATGGGTTATCTCCAAGCGGGAGTTCTGAAAGATGAAGATGTACCACAAATACGAGAAGTAACCGACTTCAAACTAGGGGCTGCGTCAACTAGACCTCAAAGAAGACCGAAATGCAACGCCCAGTGTCGAATAATTAGAGAATATTGATTTGTGATACTTTCAGGACTTTGATAAAGTTGATTATATTTTCTTTGTGTATCTGGTATATATAACATATTAAAATCAAGTATTTTCATTTTAATAAGCAAGCCAAGTACGAGTTATCAAAAACCAAACGGTTCTAAAGTATCGTTATGTCTAATATACAGGCAACAAAGTAGTATGGAAACTGTGGTTGATGTAAAAAACGCCACAGACGTAATATATTTTAAAATCTCATATATAAAATACTGAATTATTGCTTCTAATTTTTAGGGATATTATTAATTTCTAAATCCTTTAGAACCTATGGGAATAGGCTCAAGATTAAAAACAATAAAATTTAAAATGATATTTACTTTGACAGTAAACTTTGAATTTCGATATTTTGACTTAAGACTGACAAACAAAAATATTCCTATGGTCCATGTCCGTTACCGTTACGAGACTACGTATATTTAACTTGAGATTAAACTTTCTGTTACATTGTTGTGCTCAAATTGATTACTACTTTAGTTAAAGCTTTGATTAAAACTCTCCTAAAGAGAATATTGGCGTATTCTTCATCTATCTAAAATCACGCTATCTCAGAAGTTTTATCGTTCGCCGGTTAATTATGTATTTTCAAGGTGGCGATTCCTATTATGATCAACAGACGCAAGAAAACGGTCGCAGGACACACCAAGTAAGGGTAAATTTGCATATTGTTAATTCTGTAACTTGATGTAAGCATAAAGCAAGTGCCACATAGGTGTTGTGTAACTATGTTGGTTATTTCCAAAAACTACCTACCAATTCACTGTTTATGGAGTAACTTAACTTCAAGCAAACAAAATCCTTACCTCCTTTATGTATAAAAAGTGTATTTATATCACATAACTTCTTATGATTACTTAAGCTAACTACTATCAAATGCCTTTTAGCTAAATGAAAGTAGGTTGTGTAATGCTTTGATACAAAAATAGTCATAATTTATATTGTGTATTATTCGGTTTTCTATTACAGTCTGATAAAATAACTCAGAATAAAAATCTGGATGACTCCTTCAATGATGATGATGAAGCCTATGGCAAGAAAGTCCAAGCCCAAATGGACAAGGATGTCAGGTATAGACAGGATTTAAAACAGCAGTGCGAAGAAAATGTGCAGAGGTCTCAACATCGATATGAGGAATCGCATGTCGAGATGAGAAGTATGCAAGAAGTCCAAAGAGAGACAGTGGAGGAGTATCAAAGGTAAAAAGGATTTTTTAACATTAACTGAGTGAATTACCTTGCTGGCTATCTAATGATAGAAAGTTTATATTTGCTCCACAGTTTTATACACTTACATTTTGAAATAAATAATGTTGTGCTGTTTCTTGAGATAAAGAGCCATAAGGTTCAGATTAAAAAAGTTGATTAAATAAATAATTGCCTTATACTATATATTGTTTAAAATATATTTAGTATTATCTTTTCTAATCTATAAAAAACTTTTAAAAGTTGTGTGTGTTGTGAGATATTGCGTTATGAAATGGCTTCCATATAAATAGTGAAAAACAATTTACTCAAAAAGTGACTGAATTTTTAACATGAGAATAGTGTGTCTGCATAAAGCGTAAAATTACAGAGAATGCCAAGATCAATATAATGAAACGCAAAAGCTCCACAAAGATATAGAGGCATTTAAGAAAGACTGCAATGATTATAAGGATATGCAAAGAGCATTGATTGATTTGGAGGAGAACCGTATTGATGGGCAGAGTCATGAAATCTCGGACAGAGATTTAGTTGTGTAAGCATTCTAGCTATGGGTTGCCTGCTTGCTCAGAATCATTTACACCAGATACCTATGTTGGAAACAGCCACTGCTTGTCATTTCATTTGTATGCAAAATTAGCTGCTCAGTGCCTCACAGTATATTTTTTTTGTTATCTAATCATTTTTAAGATTGTCTCTTCAAATTATGGTATCTGATAGTAAAAATCATGTTGAAAACACTTTTAGCAGTCAAAAAATGGCTTATGAGATCTCAGACCCTCACTTAATGTTTATTGTTCCCAATACTTAGATTGTTTTATTTCTTTAAGCATCATCAAACCATAGATAAGTTATCCATAATAAAAGCCTTGTTTTGCCTGTCTTGCCTGTCTAACCTTATAGACTCAAAGCTATTATTAAAATGTGTTTAATCTCACCCAATATATCTTAAAGCCTTAATATGTAGAATATTTTCTTTCTATATGATGATTATGCTAGACAGGGAAAGAATATAGATATATGGAAATAGAAATTGATTTTTATTTATAAATTCAATACTATTGTGCACAATTTTGCCGCAGACCCCAATGCCACGTAAATACTTATATAATGTTAACACCATGATAAGTCAGATTTTAAACAATGGCTTGGTGGTTTCCATGGTTTATTTGTTTGCAGTTTTGTCTTGACCCTTATTTATTTGGTGTCTTTAGCACATGCCTTGACATTATTATTTTAACTTTTCAGTCAGCAAGAGAGGGACAGGAAACTGAAGGAAAAACAGGATTTAAATGAAAAAATGTGCTCTGAAATGATGGCTGATGAGGTAATATAAGTGTACTCAAATTAAATTGACTTTGTAACTGTAACACTATTGTTTTTAATGTTAATTGATATTTATAAGTAGACAAAATACCAAAGTGATAAAATATTTTGACCGATTATGATAGTCATAGTTCCTATTAAAGGAATTTGTCTTATAACTCTTCTATAAGTAACATTTTGATTTAAGTTTTTGATTACCATAAAATCAAAACCTTTAGCACTCAAATAAAGTAGTTATGGCTGCTAAAACTTGAAAAAAAATCTAGGTTGATCGCCAGCAGCAAGAAGACATGGTGGAAATAAAACATGAGACAGAAGAACGCGAAAAAGTAAGGCGTGAAGACATGAAAGTTCAGGAGAAGCATGAAGAAGACAGAAGGGAGTTGAGGCAGGGGCTTCTCACTCAGATTGAAGAGAACAAGCAGTCTGTTAGAGATGAGAAACAGAGGGAGGTTCTGTACAGAGACCAGGTAATTTTATTGCTTATGCTAAACACTAAATAGCTAGACATAAGAAATAATAATTGTCAAAAGCAAACTGTTTATTCAATCAATAACAATTACAAATAATGCAATGCTACCCACACATTAACTGCCTAATATATAACAGTCAGCATTAGTTTAATTACTGACATATGTCTTTTTAACGGTTTAAGACGCGAAATATACCAGTTAAACTTATTTAAAAAATATTTTAACTATGGCTCGACCTTTCGGATGCTTGGCGTCGTTTTAAAGCGTTAAAGCGTTTCATTTTAATACTGGAAAGCTATTATAGATTATAATAAGTTTCTTGCACTGTGTTTTGACACCTTAAACCGAAATCAACTTATTTCCTTAAATAAAAGACTAAACCTAGCAAAATAATAATTATTCCAGGCCTGCGCTATAATGGAATTGGAAGACGAAAGGGAGAAAGAGAGAGCCCGAAAGAAGAAAGAAGCAGACGACCAGTATTACGCAGATCTAAGACAGCAGATTGCGGACAACGCTGTGCGCAGGCAAAAAGAGAAAGAGTTGGACGCGATGTAAGAGACCGGTGGGTTGAATGTTTCTCTAAATAAATAAATATGTAGCAAAAAAATGGATCCTAAAAATAAATTAAAATATTTTGTAATCATTTGTTTTAACAGTCCAACGAAAGAACAGTTTATACAAGCTTATTTAAGACTTAATACTTCTAATGGTAAGAGGTATAACTAATGTCTTCAATATATTATGTGCTGAAATATTATATTACTTGAACGATATATTTTTAGACAGGTACAGCACAGCACTTGCTTCCTTACTTGAAAAAAAAAATGAATAAATGAGACAGATATACAATATTGTCTGTTAACACATAAAAAAAAACTTAAAGTAATTGTATTACTAGTGGTTTGCCTCGAACATCAAAAATAATGATATTGTTTTGTTTCAGTTCTTCCTCAACATAAATAATAAAATTAATATGCACCAGATTGAGACTGAGTTTATAATCTCATTTTGATTTTATTTAATGCGCCTTTTTTTGCTGAGGCAGCTCCAACTAAGCAATATATGATCTTTAACCAACTTCAGAGGCAAATTGTGTCAAATGTTATCATATGTTGGTCCATTTACTTAAATACGTGAATATTTAACATCATTTTTAGAGATGCCATTTCCTTTACTACTATGTTACTAACCTCTACAAAACAAAAACATGGGATCTAAACTAATAACGATTAATAGAAAAAGCCATACTTAGAATACAACAAGCTACTTTGGTAAATGTCTATGGATTCTATAGCATTGTTATTTTCGCGCCACTTTTGACATAAACTTTGTTTTTAGATGTAAAAATGAGCATTTATTGTATTTCCAATGTTTAATTAAAGTTTAACGCTTCATGTTTGTCTTATTTTCAACGTCCAGTCGCAGTGTTTTAAGTAAAGAGCATATGTTTAGTTTAATAGTAATTATTCGTAGTTAAACTTATGTCTATTCATTTTAATTGTTCCATTTTAGGCGGTTATTTATGTAATTATTAAATTAGGAAATATATTATAATATATTATTACCAATTTTCTTGTAATAATAACTAAATTATACTAAAAGGTAGAAGGTACAGACAATTTTGAATATTAACAATGATATAACACACCGCATTGGATAATTAAAAGGGTGAATGTAGGGTGTCTGAACTAATATGGTTTTATTTTTTGTTTGCAAATTAAATATTACAATTACACTTTAGATTCCAGTTCCGTCCATGTCGTAATTTTATTTAATTATTAAACACGATAATTACAGTAATGCGAATTGTTAAAGTAGACGTTAAGTGTGGCTAACAGGTCTTTTTGCATAGGTACTCAGAGGTCGGTCAAACAGTAATTTACCGAATTGGTAGTTCTAATAACGCCGCTAGATGGCTCTGTTTTCACATAATTGATGTCATAGTATTAATTAATTATTATTAGCAATAAATCTTTTTTTTTATAATTTTGTCATTTAACTATTGAAATTTGAAGTAGAAATATAAAATGTAATAAAAAAAACAAATTCTAAATATTTAATATCTAACCAAAAAAGTCAAACATTTTCAATTCCTAAAAAATTAACGTTGTTCTTTATTTTAATACTTCTATAATAATAAAAAAACAAAACGTCAAATTGACGTTTCGTTTTTGACGTAATTGGTAAAAATTTGATAGAAGTGTAAAATTTTAATTGTTGGCTTAAATAAACCGCCAAAATTGATCACTTAGGTTAAAATCACGATAAACGGAGATCGTCACATTTTGGCAATTTATAGCTTTTAGAAATCGGGCACTATTATTTGAAATAAAGACATCGTGTTTTCGAAGGTAGTTATGTATACGTTGGGTAGACGTGTTTTTTTCGCGATACGATGCCTAAAACGTCAGCGCGTGACAGATTATTTGAATTATTTTGTATATATATATAATTAAACGTAGTATAAATCATTGTTTTTGTGATGTATAACTGCGGGTAGTTTACAAAATGTTGAAAAGTAATGTTCGTGTTATTCGATGACGTCAGGCTAACACCTGGTCGGTTGTTTGTGAGTTGTATAAAAGGGGGGTGCGCTGTAAAGCGTGGAGCAGTGGCTCTGGAGCGATCGTAGGGTAAACGCTGGTGGAACGTTGTTGGAACGTTGTTTGGAAGAGAGGTTTCAGAATATGTTTAAAATCGTATATCTGTATTAATACCTATAATGCGAACGTTGGTTGAACATTGGATGGTTCAGGTATGATGTACATTATTATATTGTAATAAATAGGTTGTGAGATATTATGTACTTTTTATTATATTGAATTGGCATCAATATATGTCAATTAAGTATCGTAACCTTGTGTAATATATAGATAAATATCTTCAAATTAATATATAATTGGGGTACCATTATTTGTTAGATTCCTAGATGTTTTTATACAATAAATGTGTTGCCGTTATTATGGGAAATACGTTGCTGAAATATAACATCTTGTTTAACGAAATAGAATAGCTTTTGACAGTATATCTTCTTGTTATTTTACATGTTATCCTTAAAATCTCATATAAACCAATGTCTATAATCATATATTAAGGTCTCTTTATATAAAAAAATCTAACATCAGAAGTGGGATCGATCAATACAGTGAATAAAATACCTCACACCATGTTTGCTCGTCTAGTTATATATACATTTGTTTTTCTTCTTATTATGTCACATTGTTTTTTTTTTCTCGTTTTGTTTTTTTTTTGAAATAAAGATAATAACGTGTACATTAAGTACTTATAAAGGGATATGACACGTAAATTTGTTAAATATATATCGAGATTTTGAGGATGCAGATGGATTAGGATTATAAATTTCTAAAAAGAAATCAGCAACGTATTCAGATACTAGCAATAGATTTTGTGCTTAATTTTGTTTCGAATCGTTTTAGCCGAACATAGTAAAAAAAAAAAAAAACCCTCACTTTGGATGAATAATCGAGATAAGTATCCAAACTAATACATCAAGTACGAGTTTCAGAGAATTATGGACGATCAGCGACAACATCTTTAACGTAGCCGGGACTGCTCGAGACGTGATGAAGTGACACATGGCCTTCCAACACTGCTCCGTAACCAGACGAGGAGCCCTGAGAATTATGGACGATCAGGGGGAACATATGCAGCGTAGCCGGGACTGCTCGAGACGTGATGAACTGACACACGGCCTTCGAACACTACTCCGTTATCAGACAAGGAGCCCTGGTGAGGACGTGAGCGAAATCATCCTTAGCGGAGACGTATAAAAGGACTTTACGAAATAGTTTTCTTGCTATCAAACGATCTCTTTTTTTTGAGGGGAATTAGTAATTTGGTTTAATACATTAATTTACGCAAGAAATACATTTTCACTTAAGCGTAAACACAATATTATACATTACATGATATTATATGCGAGTAGGTAGGAATTTACAATAATAGTTTGGTTGAAAATACTTCCCTGATCTATTTTAAATATAGATATTTCTAATAATACACTATTACACAATCGGTTTCGTCTTTAGCGGTAAAACTGCTTTTAATAAATAATACATACTAAATAATAAGATGGTGCAACTTTGTGGCACATTGTAGTTTGCATTATTTAATCTTTTTAACGATGCTAAGAATATAATGTTTTAATTTCGTTTTAAATAATTTGTATGATTTAATATTTTTAATAGTTCTGGGGAAGTGTTTCTATGTTTTAGCACCATCATGCAGTATGTTATTTTTACGATAGTTAGAAACTTTATTTGTGTTTAGATGGCTCCATTTAATATTTTGAGTACAAATATAGGAATACTATAAATGTAGATTTGATTGATGGTCATAAGTCGATTCTCTTTATAAATCGTATCAGTTGAAGTTAAGTAATCGTAATATCAGTTATTTTGAGAAAATTGTGATGGTTTAAGATTTGTTTTTGGCAGCAGTGCCCCAGACCACAATTAGATAATTTACGTATTAGCACAGTTGCAAAAGAAAAATTGCGATGTTATTAGCCTAGAGAAATGATGGACGAAAAAAGGGACGAAAATTGTTCTTAGTTGGCTTCTATTATTGTTAATTATTTACTAATGTACTGTTATTTTTAAGAGAGGTGATAATTCGAAACGACAAAAAAAAAAAGCCGCTGGTCGACTGTTTGCTTGGTACTAGTCCATACCACTTGCAGCGGGTGAGTGGGCTAGTGCGTCTAGGTAGACAGTATAAAGAATAGAAGCCGCTGGTCGACTGTTTGCTTGGTACTAGTCCAGACCACTGGCAGCGGGTGAGGGGGCTAGTGCGTCTAGGTAGACAGTATAAATAATTAAAGCCGCTGGTCGACTGTTTGCTTGGTACTAGTCCAGACCACTGGCAGCGGGTGAGGGGGCTAGTGCGTCTAGGTAGACAGTATAAAGAATAGAAGCCGCTGGTCGACCGATTACTTGGTACTAGTCCAGACCACCGGCAGCGGGTGAGGGGGCTAGTGCCTCTAGGTAATCGGTATAGGAATACCTCCGCTGGTCGCTCGATTGTTTGGTGCAAGCAAACTAGACTCATAAGCAGCGGATGAGGGTTTCGACACGTCTATGCAATCGAGAGGTATAAAAAAAAAAAAAAAAAAAAGAAAGATTAAATAATAAATATTCGATTCTAATAGATTACATATTTCAAGTATTAAAAAACATTATATTTGTGATGTTCGATTCAAATTATCACCAACAATCCTATTTGTAAGTACAAGCGTTTCTGAGAACAAATAATGTGTCAGTTTGGCCGTAACGGATTATTTGAATTATTTTGAATATTTATATAATTAAACTTGGTTATATTATCACCAACAATCCTATTTGTAATACAAGTGCTCTGAGAACAAATTATATGTAGTATGGCGTAGGATTATTTGAATATTTGATATTTATATAAATAAACTTGGTTATAATTATTACCAACAATTCTGTTTGTAAGAATAAGTGCTTTGAGAACAAATCACATGTCAGTATGGCCGTGACAGATTATTTGAATTATTTTGTATATATATATAATTAAACGTAGTATAAATCATTGTTTTTGTGATGTATAACTGCGGGTAGTTTACAAAATGTTGAAAAGTAATGTTCGTGTTATTCGATGACGTCAGGCTAACACCTGGTCGGTTGTTTGTGAGTTGTATAAAAGGGGGGTGCGCTGTAAAGCGGGGAGCAGTGGCTCTGGAGCGATCGCAGGGTAAACGCTGGTGGAACGTTGTTGGAACGTTGGGACGTTAGAGGTTTCAGAATATGTTTAAAATCGTATATCTGTATTAATACCTATAATGCGAACGTTGGTTGAACATTGGATGGTTCAGGTATGATGTACATTATTATATTGTAATAAATAGGTTGTGATATATTATGTACTTTTTATTATATTGAATTGGCATCAATATATGTCAATTAAGTATCGTAACCTTGTGTAATATATAGATAAATATCTTCAAATGAATATATAAATGGGGTACCATTATTTGTTAGATTCCTAGATGTTTTTATACAATAAATGTGTTGCCGTTATTATGGGAAATACGTTGCTGAAATATAACATCTTGTTTAACGAAATAGAATAGCTTTTGACAGTATATCTTCTTGTTATTTTACATGTTATCCTTAAAATCTCATATAAACCAATGTCTATAATCATTTATTAGGGTCTTCTTTATAAAAAAATCTAACACGCGCGTCACTATTTAGTGCGAGTCAGTATGTCGACAGATTTATTTTATTTGTGACTTTCAATTATGTTCTGTTAAGATGATGTGATTAATATTAAGTGACTATAACGGGTATTGCAAAAGCTTTAACAGTTATTACTTTGGAATTGTTTTCGCTAGTCAAGTGCGTTTTGACATAATATTTGTGTGCTACGTGGTAACGTAACTTTATATTGATACCTTTTGCTGTTCACCTTTTGTGGGCCTAATTAATCCTGATTACCGTGCAGACAGAGACACCGCGATAGCAGCGTACATAATTCTGGAGACGGCCACTGTACCAGAGGTAAGTACTTAAAGAATAGAACGTAGTTAGCCACGTTTTGTTTCAAGCATGTATTGATGTTTGAGCTTATTCCGTCTTTGTGTATTAGATATAGACTTATATTTGCGTACCTATTGATGTGAAACTCTTCGTGCGATAATCCTATTACTTATATACAATTTCAAATGTTGTTTGTACTTGTTTAAATAGTCCAATCGTTATGCCTACAATGTACTATACAATACAATAATTGTAAAACGTTTTGTACATTAAAACATTCGATGAATCGACAAAATCATGGTCGCCGGAGTCGTGAAAGGGCTCGCAGCCGCAATAAAGAAGCAAAATGGCCACATCAGCAGTTAGGTAAACACACGGTCGCATTGAGTCGAGATAAAAATCACAAAATGGAGGGTATTTTTGTGTTCAGGTTAAATTGACACTCCATACGGGCTTATTTGCCGAGTTCCATTACGACGGCTTATCGCCCCACAACAGACTAAAATATTTGTTCCATAAAACCTTGTATTCATAATGTTTGCTAACGCGACAAATTATTTGTTTTATAAAATATTCATAGAAAAGGAACTTTCATACGTTTATTACGAGCTTATTTGCCATGCTTGTATATTTACTCGGGTTATTTCGCAACTGTTTATACCATAAATAAATAAAGAATAAGAGTTATAATAACATTTTTATTTTGTACATCTCGTTGGCAATATCAAACACGTTTGGTTACTGTTTCTTCTTTTGCTTTTCTATTTTCTCTTTCCACCGTTCAATATTCTGTCTAAACTCGAGTTGTTCTTCTAGATGTTTTTTCTCAACTTTGCCCCAGTGCGTCTTCTCAGAGTTCCATTTGTGATATCTTTCATAGTCCTGAGAATAATAAAAAAACCTACTTATTGTGTTAAGCGTAATAGTTAAACTCTATATATGAATTTAATATATAAAACGATGCGGTAAAACTACAATTAATAACGTAACAGGTGATTTCTTTTAGGAGTAAGAATTAAACGGTTTTACAATCATTCTTCACATACCACTTTTGCTTCATCGTTTTGCAAGAAATGGTCATACACCTCGGTTGGAGACAATCCTTGTGTTGCTATTCTGAAATATTATTGACTGCCTTATACATGTAGAAATACGAAAAAACAAGAAATTAATATTGAATCAAAGCCGCAAACTACAAACATAAATTTGCTTCGGTAAAAGTAAAATATCAGAAACAAATTAATTAACTGCCTCTATTATTTACGGTGTATATCTAAAGAAACTCCGAAATAAGCTTACTGTACTATACGTTCCGCTGTTAAAAAATTGTCCAATTGTTTAATGAGTTGTCCTATAGCGTACCCTTGCAGCACATATGCAAGGCTCTGTACGTCGAGAGCAGGCGGTATTATGCGATTCCTTAAGATCAAGTTAAGTGCAACATTACAATTGAAAATCAAAATAAGAAGTTCGACTTTCTCACGCACCATATAGCTAATAATCGACGGGTCTTGGGTTCGATCCCCACCGGGTCCAACATATTTATATATATTTTTTTAAACATGTTAAAGTTTGCCTGGAAATCTGGATGGGTCGTTCGAAATTCCGTACGGGTCACGACTCACTGTGTTCCTTTGCGTGTGCGTTTCGGTTTCAATCTGTAGATTTCCGAATATCCAAAGCCAAAATAGGTCCAAACGCATGGGCACCCCCTATGCGTCAAGTGAATTCCTCAATATTAAAAAAAAATCAATTCACCTTTTCTTTTATTGATATAATAACAAATGGTAATAAATTACCTTGACACCCAATTTCTTAACACTAGTTGTGCAGCAGAATACGAAGTTGGTGGCATTAAGATTACATTGGGAAAGTGCTTGATAACCTGTTTGCTTTTCGTTAACCAAGGATCGATACAGCTGCCTGTAGAGCAACAGTCGAATTTCTAATTATAAAAACACTGTGAAATGACTAATCTTGATAGAATTGCAAACGAGAATAATCACAATGGGGTACATTTAAAAAATCTCATCATCACTAACTGACTGCGATTATACTTGCTCTAGAGTTCTCATGCAAAATACTATTTCCTTAGTAGGGCAAAGCTAAAAGATACCGGTGCGTTATTGTTGCGATAAAGATTTCAGTTTATTATACAAAAAAAAACAAAAGCTTTGGCTAAACGATTGGCCTATAGTGTCCATTTTTAAATAAATACAAAATACTAAAAGTACTCAATTATACTGAAAAATGATTTTTAAATTGTTATGGTTAGAAAGAGTTTGTTTTCAGTCCGTTGTGATGCGCTCTCGAGTATACTTTGATAAATAAAGTTTGAATGTTTAAAGAGATTACTTCAGCCGTTCTCTTCAACGTTATTATGTTACAATGAGATAAAATGAGTCTCCTTTCCATAAGATAAATTATTCAATGGTTTTTGATTTGGTTGATGATGCCAACGAAGCCAAACTATGTAAAAAATTTAACCTAAGCGAAAGCTATAAGTATATGTAGAAATATATAAGCTATAACCTATAAGTGTAATATTATCCGTTTTGTGTAACTTCCTAATTAACTTTTTAATGATCAGCTTTTTAATGATGTTGGAGTTTTGCATATCTTCATTTCTTTTGGCCTGAAACATTTCAAAGAAATAGGCGTGCATATAGATAGATGTAAAAATTTTAAAATTTACACTTTTTGTGTGCATTTATTAATTTTATTTTATATGACTCACTTCATTATGTTATTAGGTATTCAGTTTTTTTAATGTATGCTAAGTTGTATAGATCGAAATGTTCGACTACAAAGTCAAACTGCTTACCTTTCTGTAGTACAATTTATGGACATGTCTTATATAAATAACAGAAGGCTGCGTTGCTCGTGCGCATATGATAAGATCAGATGAAATTTGTTTTAACGTGTCCAAAGACTCGTCTTGAAGTTGTCGTAAATTTAGCTCGTAAAACGATGCTTCTGTAAATTGAAGCAGTTCCAACCAGTGAGACACAATATATTATAATATATATACTCGTTAACTAAGCCTTACTAGGGCGTTTTGAAATCAACCATATTTTCACTGAAGAAAACATTACATTTAAATAAACAGAAAAAAATATTATTAATATAAAGTAGGACAGCAAGTGTGGGGTACCCATAAGATACGTTATCTAGCTGTTTTGGACATTCATAGACCTTTAGACTAAATATTCGTAAACAAGAAGGAACTTTCAATCACTTTAAGGGCGAAACGTGTTAATAAGACTAGTTTGAATGAAAAATATTACCGGATCACTCTCAATAGTGCCGAATATTTAAAACAAATAGAATAAATTTAATACAATAAAACTAAGTGTTTACCATTAACAGATGCCATCGCATGAACCAATATAGTTTTACCAGTATTTTTAGCACCGACGAGCAAAATTCTACTAAAACCGTGAGTTAGTTCTCGACATTTTTCCCACCACAAACATCGTGTTTCACCGCCAAAAGGATTAACAATTCTGGATAGAACACACATCAACTCGTATTTTTTATTTAATCATCTAATTTACCAATAATCTGATAATGCTACTAAAACAACTTGTGAGATTCTGGGTCCAATCCATGGTAAAAATACAAGAGTATGTATCTGGTAAGCCATATCAATAAACCTTAGCATATAAGCTATAGCAACATACTTTAAATTACACTTCATTGTGTCTCCTGAATAATTATAGTCTCCTAAAAAATCGCCAAACTTCGTTACTGGATACTCAACTAAAATCTTTTTAGAAGCCAAATCCTAAAATACGAGTAGCGACATTTAATTCCGCTAAAATGTGAGTATAAATCGTTAAATTGTAATAAACTTTAGGACTAACAAGTAAGTTTTTAAATGAAACATTATTTTTAAGTAGTTTGCGTTTTGATTTTCGTTTCTTTTTCACACGGATTTTCTCTTTAATATTTTCGGGCATAAATTCTTCATTTCTTTTGTAATCTTCTTCTAAGACTGCCATTAATGTTTTGTATTCAAGCCTATAAAAATACATTAAAATTATGCCCTTGAAAGGGGAAAATTAAACAATCATCTGTCAACATGCCAGTATGTCAAATGTGGCGTCATAAAATTAACCCGAGTCCCAAATGTGAGAACTCAAATAGGCTGTTGATAATAAACATCTTCATTAATGCATTAGCTACCCACCTCATATCGTTTTCGACAGAATTGCAAATTTCTTCTTTTACCGTAGCACATATTTCTTCGAAGTCGACTTCCCTTATATGTCCTTTTTTAACCTTTACGATATTGAGATCATCCCATTCAGACCATTTGTTTTTATAAACCGCTACGGCCTACAATATCAGATAACATTTCCCGTCTTAAATCTTATAGGTATATCACAAAACGTATTTATATTTAATTTAACACACTTCTATCAAGTGTTCAATTTTCTTTGACTCTGGATATTGATATCCTGGATGTATGTTAGGATTTTTCATTAATTTCCTCATAAGCTCGATTTGTAACTTCTTTTTCTTCATTGCCTCCCTTTTAAATTCCATTTCCTCTCTTTTCGCTTCTAATTTTTCATATTTTAACTAATAAAAAAAAAGTCAAATACTGTCTATAGTTTATGCGAGTAGTACACATTTAAATAAAACACTTTAACGGTTTAAAAAGCGATATATTAGTTAAACTTATTTAAAAATGATTTTTAACTTCGGCCCGACGTTTCGGATGCTTTGCAGCAGCCGTGGTCACGGGGAGACTAAAGATGGAGGATGTCTCTGACGTCAAATTAAAAAATTGCTACGCTAGCGCCATCTGTTCCGTCGAAGTTGGTATTTGGCGAAGCTGGCCGCGTCGTTACAGAATTGACTAACGGTGTCTTCACGTTTGCCGGTATGCTGTTTATTGGGCCACGTGGTTGGTTGCCGGTACGGGTTTAATATATCGCGTTTTAAACCGTTAAAGTGTTTTATTTTTTTTTTAAGTAATTTGAATACTAGCAACAGAGTCAACTCAGTATGAATAATTTAAATTTTCGTAATCACTTGAGTTGCAGTTTTATGTTTTGTAGCTTTCTTTTGTTCTAAATAAGCATTATACTCGTCCAGCCATTCAGCAGGAGAAGAGATTTCGTTTTTTATTATTCTAGTTATTCCGCCTTGATTTTCTTTCGGTATTGCGTGGAAAAATTGCACTTCCTCGAACCTAAGTTACATGAATATAATTTAACGATATTACTGGATTTCTTAATATTTCAACATCTGGATATATATTAATCGTACCATGCTTACCATGTCTTAAACCAACATCTAATGAATTCTCGAAAGTCATCCGCTATATCACCCTCTTTTTTCTTAATGAATTTTGTCTTCAATTCTTTATATTCTAGCTTCCATTTATTATTGTACATTTTCTTAAGTTCGCATGTCTTTGATTTAATCTTTTATATGGAATGAATAATTATTAATATGTCATAAACAACCTTTATTTAGTATTTATCATTAATTACCTTATTTTCTTCTTCTTTTACGTCTCTAAGATCTTTTATTTGCTTGCAGTAATTTATTCCCAAAAGTTGATCAAGCTTACAATCTGTGACTTTTTTTCGCTTTAAGTGGAAATATTTCCTGTAACCATAATTATAATCTGCTTAACATCGTATATATGCTTTTAAATTTAAAATGTATTTTACCAACCTTATAATTGTTTGGATGAGCAAAGAAGCTCGTTCTCTGAGTTCAACCCGAGCAGGTGGATTTAATGTACCTTTTAATTCTTTCTCCCAGAGTAATCTCCTTTCATTTCTTAGTGTATATTCTTGAATAGTTTGCCTAAAATTAGTTGTAACAACGATGTTATACGATAATTCTGAGAGCTAATAAAAAGCGTATTGAACTGTTTTAGCCACTGTTAGGTAGCTAGTATACTGTATAACTAACAAGGCAACGTTTTTTAATCACTTCTCTAAACTTCATCAAACACTTACCTCGACTTTTCATGAGCTTGTATTAGGGACAAAAGTTGTTTCCTTTTTAAAGTTTCTTGAGACATTTTTTTCTCAACAGCGTAAATTGCGCCAACATTTATTCCTTTTGATTTTGTTTCTACTTGTTCATTATCAGTTTCCCACCACCTATCTTCCTCTTCAAAACCAACAGATTCTTCTACTTCTTCGGCCATTAAATCTTCGAATTGGACAAAGATTTAAGTAAACATTTTTAACATACATGATAAATAAAATGTTGTACGTCATATTACCTACCCTACCTACATCTAGACTAAAACCCTTCTACAGGGACCTAGTTTTTGAAAAACTCAACTTATGGTAACCTCAAATTCATGAATCCTAGTTATGTAATTATTACCTTTGTGTGCTACGGCTTTCGCCTCCCGTAAGGCATCATCAACAAGACGCTGTATGTCTCGAGGGCGATGATTTTTAAAATAAATGTTTTCTAACTCCACATCATAGGGCGTTAGTTTATATTCAATTAAACCTTCACTAAGATATTCGTAACAAGTTCTTTCGAGCTTCCGTAGCTGTTCTTTCAATTCTAAAATCCTAAATATAAGAAGTCATTTATTGAGACATAAGATAAGATTTCACAATTTGTCTGCTCTACATCTTTTTAAATGAATTGTCATGGATTATACCTTGTAAGAAGAGCTTTTACTACATTTTCCATATAAGCAGTTTTCTGCACTTGAAGATTTTGCTGAAGACAGTCAAAAGTGGCATTATAGCAACACACATAGGAGCCCAATACCCCAGAAAGTCGTAAAGATGCATCGCATATATCTTTGTCGTGAGCTTTATTCTTCTGTAACATATATTTTTCGCTTTCTTGCTTATACGATTCTCCTATTATTAAGATATTGAACATAGGTGAAGTTAATACAGAAGTTTAAAATGTGTTTGTTACCTGATTATCAATGTCTATAGAAATTACACTTTCTAAATTTTTAAGCACCCTTTTCCATTGTTCAAAATAATAGTTGCCTGCCATTTTTAACCATAATAAAAAAACAAAAATAAAATATAATGAACGATCAATGTAATCGAGATGGGCACGGTTTTGAATGAAGCCACTTCAAAAGTCAGCCGTTCAAAAATTCGATTGTATTCCTTTATACATTTAGTTGCTCCATTCCCTATTTTCCTGTTACGCGGGAGAAACCATTGAAGGGGTTAATAACCCTGACAAGAAAATATTTGTGTAACCCTAATATCTCTACGAGGTGGTTAACAGCGTCATTTAGTGGAAGCAAAGGGCAAACGATCACCATTACGTGTTATCGTCTGAAACGGAAACCTGTACATCATACCCGATGAGGGAAATGGGTACTTGACGGCTGTCGGCTACCTCCTTTTATACTCGCACCTCGCGTTCACAACCCTAACTACCTTCAATGCTATATTCAAATATCAATCTTAAAGGGAACAGTTGAAGCTCAAAATTCCATATTGAGTTATTGCACTTACGTCTAATGGGTATGCGACGGAATCGCAGTTCAATACGCGTCAAAACAAAATAAACTTAAAGACTATGGTGTTTTGTGTTAATTTGGAATGGACGTTAGAAAACTAAAAAAGAGTTTCTTGGTTTTAGTGGTTTATTTATATTTTTATATTAAATTTTGGATTCAAACGCTACACAACTTATTCCGCTAAAAATGTTCACCATTAGATTTTTTTTTAAGTTATCAAAGGAAACATTTTTTGACACAAATTTAGACTAACTTTTTGTCAAATGTTTAAGTCGTTGTATCTTCTTGTCTCAATACCAATCAATGAAATAAAATATTATTATCGAATCACGTTTAATCAATAATATAGAATCGAATTCTTGAATTAGAGATTATAAGAACTGATCACGTTTTCTTTCCTTCTATTAAATTATACACTTAGCCGCCTAATGGTTGTAAGTAATAGGTACCAACCAGATTGCTCTTTGTTTTATAATATTTTGTAGAATTTTTTGTAGAATAAAAAAAAAAAAAAAACCGAAATTAAAATTTTAAAGAAATTAAACTACCCTCAAAGGAATAGGTAATCGACACGCTAATGGAATCCATCAAACGCTCTATATATATAATAAGAGATCTCATAAAAATTCGATACATCCCGAGGGAAGGGAGGGAATAAACTATTTTGCATTGAACCTTGTTGACGTGAAGTCGCGAGGGTTACGTATTCAGGAGGTGTCACGAATTGACATGTTTTTCGAGAACATTTCTTGTGTCAGTATTGAATTGAGCTTCACAGCTTGTTAGGGGTGTTTAGATGATCTTCATTGAATGTTTGTACGTCTTATACTGCTGTAATGATATATTTTTTATCGACTTCAACTATGCTTAATGTATATGTGAGAAAATGGAACAAATTCTTTACCTACTAGGTAGGTACTACCAATATTTGAGTCTGCAATAAGCCTTCAAAATAACAACTTTGAAAACTTTAATATTTTTCACATATTATTGCACATGATGGCACTATATAATTTAAAAATCGAAACTAAATTGAAAATTTTTTGACTCAGGCAGGACTTAAACAGCACGGAACGCTGACGATGCCGGTTCAAGTCCTGCCCGAGTCGAAATTTTTTCAATTTATTTTCGATTTCTATGATACCTTTTACCTAATAATAAGTAAGGATTGCTTATCATATACGATCTTGACTATTTACCTTAAGTAACATATGGTTCAATTCACCCTAAGTCGGTAAAATTATATCATTTTATTGACTTAGGGTGGGATCACCATAGGATGAAAGCCAAATAAATGCTTAAGAAAGAAACATAACATTGCAGAATAATATTATTACTATAAAATTTAAATATAACCTATATTTAAATTGGCTACATATTTCAGATAACGTCGATAGTTAGCAAGAAAAATGCTTTTCTCGAAAGCCTCATTAGACAACTAAAGTGAAATTAATTGAAACGACAAAAGTTCTTCGTCTGCTATTCTCGAAGTAATTAGTTTCGCGAAAATAAAGTAAAATTAGAGACAATATCATTGTAATAAACAACGCGAAGACACGCCATTCCAAATTAACTTTCCTCGTAAATTGGGCACGCAAACAACTTTCAAATTGGCCCGCGGAGGCGACGTTTTCGCTAAATACCTATAAAAATGTCCGCCTCAACTGATATATTGTTACTAATAATGTGGAATAAGTGTCAAGTGCGAGCGATGCTTATATAGTCATAAAGCTGACATAATAAGCAGGTAAACGGCGTGCTGTATTTTGGACTTATTATTTATTTATTTATTAGCTCTTTATTACAACCCACAGACAAAGTATATACTATTGCAAGCACAGCTAAAAAAGACTTCCTAAGTTTGTGGATGGGAAAGTGTTAATGTTAAGTATGTATATTGTTAAATAGATAAATATTTATTATATGAAGAAGTAACACAATATTTCCATTTCCTCTATTTATTTATTTAAGACATTATTTTAACAAAATATTTCAATGAAAAGTAAAGAGAATGAGATCATAGACGAAATTATGAAAAAAGAACGATAAAATCATTAAATTCTAAACGTCTACACTCGCTACGCTGTTCCTACAAAGATTCTACGAGCGCTACGGCGTAGAGTCGTAACAACGCTCGTAGAGGTAAGATTGATAGATAGAATTAGCGGCATTTCTTGAAGTTTAGAACAAAAATCGCTTTCGCTTATGCCTTCAGCCATCAGAGTGTAGGTCTGTATATAAATTGCAGCACTTACCACGTCCGAATGGCACATTTGGCTGATAGCGCGTCGAGATATACTTTACCGCGTTATGAGTTATCGTTCCCTATCTTTTATGTGAATCGCAAACTTCACGGCGCACACAGGATGTGTTATGTTTCTGTCTTACATCTTTTATCACACATACACTTCTTACAACTTTGCGTGACGTAATAGCTATACCTATATATAGTCTAGAACTAGGAGCTTTTATTTAAGTATTTAAAATACTCTTAACTTGGGTTCAATGTTGTTCATGTATATAATATGTAGTTATCGAGGTAGTGCTGTGCACCAGGGCCCCGAAAGTCAAATGTAAATAAGGGTTAAGCGTAAATGACAAGAGATTTTTTAATGTTTGTAAATAAATTATTTTCGGTCTTATCTATAATTTTGGAGGTTTACGTTCAAGCAAAGCGTTAGGAGGGCATGAGAGCCTGACTTTTATTTTATGTACCGGAGCCCTTGTCGACCTACCTAGGTATGCTAAAAAATAATTTTGAAGAGTACGTAACTTTACTGGATATAATATTGTCTGTATAAATAAATAAAATATTGTTTATACTTTACGAGAGTTGTAGGTACACGTTTAAATAAAACACTGAAAAGCGAAATATATTTCACGTTATAGACCGTGAAACGTTGGAACGGAGTTAAATGAAATTCGACATATGTTAATTAATACATTTCTCGTTTAAAACCGTTAAGTTTTTTAATAAAAAAAAAATATATACAACTTTTCATTTATTTCCGGTTTATTCATTTCAATTCTTCTCATATACACATGTCTCGTAAGTACCATGCTAAATTGAGTCTAGACTTGTCAACTTCACTTTAGCAAAGTAGTTGAACGTATAAATTTTCACAGTAATCCAACCAACCTAAATAGTTTTTCGTCTCTCATAACTTCTGAACGAGTTCATCATAATAAAACATGAGGTACACAGTTCGTATATCACTGCTACATTTCTGAGAACAAAGATAAGTGATTCTCCGCTTGCATATATATTTCATCGCACAAACTTCAGCTTCACCGCGTTGTTTGTGTTATATGTTATATAAGGAAGTGGTGCATTAAAGTTTTTAAATTCATTATTATATTATAACGCCCTATTAATATTGAGGAGGCTTATAATAGACTATATTAACTAAACTACAGTGAAGGTAATAAAAATTATAATGTGAAATGGATAGGTTGAAATTTTAACGTAGAGATCTTGTGTATATGTAAAGATACAATGTGATGATGTTTACTTTGTCATAATTGAAATATGTTTATAGGTATATAATCATATTTATTTTGTTAGTTAAATTGTAATTAAAATTAAGTGGAATGTTAAAAAAAGAACCTATATGTCTATACTAGAATTCGTCACAAGTGAAAACAAGGAAGCAAATTAAATTAGCGACGCAGGAACACATTGGGACAGACAAAAGCGACCCATCATCCGCAAGTGCATTAGCTCGCCTGTAAATTCTGCTTCTTAATCGTTCGCTGCGATCATATATTTCTTGATTAAGAGCTCGTAAAAATGTCCTCCGGAGGTGAGTAATGGGCGAGAGCGCGAGATTAACCCGAGGCTTGTAAGCGAGCTGTAAACAATGGGAATCCGTTTAAATGTTAACCTGTCCGGGCTTTCATTCGTAATTAGTGGATACAATATAGGTTATATTAGACTTTATTATATGTAAAACACTTTTATACGAAATATATTAAGCTTACTTTTAAAATTAATTACAAATTTATTCCTAAGTACTTTTTTGTAACTTTGGTGAGATTTTCATAATTAATTAGTTAGTCTTGCTATTATTGATGCATGATAAAATACACCCTGATAATAATTTGACGACATAACTACAGTTGACTGAAATTCCTCAATCGTTAAGGGTGGGCACTAAGCCCGTAGTATTATTCATAAGATGAGCAAAATAAAATAACAATAACATTTACAAGTTTAAAAACGTCACAGTTTTTTCAACGTCCGATAATATTAAAGACCTCTCGTTGCTAATTATAGAAAACCAGCAATATCACCTACACGTATTAAAATTATGAAATGCGTATTATAATATTCATTATCTCATCCTGTTTGTGCTATAACTAGGTTATATATTCCAGCGTATATTACCTGTACATCCAGGAAATGATTACTCGCAGTTAAAATGAAATATATATCGGAGTAAGTCGGTTTGCGAAGGCGCATAAATCAGTGAGCTTGAAGTCAGGTGTTCTGACTGAAATATGTGTTCTCCCGCGGACA